TTTCTGTTCTTATGTATATTTTTATACAAAATTTCACATTTTTTCTTGGTTTCAGGCCATCCTCCCAACCTGCGATATCTTTTTGAATCTTGCTTTGGTCATCAATTTTCTAGCTCTCTCTCCCAACTTTATGCCATATGCCCATCTGATGAATATGTCCTCTTTTTAAGAAAACTTAAGACCCTACATTAAAAATTGGTGACAGGTGTCAGAGGGACCTTAAGCCTCTTAGCGGGGTAGTAACAGAGTTTCCCTTCTGGGTGATTACTGACTGATTCATCAATACATCTTGGGCACCTTATAGTATTTTTTCCTGGGAAGAAGCTCTCTATCTTGTAGCTAAAGTGCACTATTTATGGGAACCTACAGCACCTGTGAATACCTGTGTCACAGTATTTGTAACATTGTATTTTAATTTTGTTACCTCTCTGACCATCATTACGGGGCTGCTGTTTTGCTCATCACCATATTCCCAACAGCAAGCACAGTGTATTGCATATGGTGGGCACTCAATACACACTTTATTCAGTGACTTAGCCTGCATAATTTTTTATGAATTTGCAGAAACAGCCAGGCTATTTGATACACTTCAGGGATTGAAATATAGAGTTTAGCCCTCCAGACCTTTCCCAGGTCTGTGGCCAGTATAGCTCTACACGGGTCAGTAACAAGACCTCACATTCATTCCCCAGAGTCGGTGCCACAGTATCATACCCTTTGCTTTCTGGAACATTTCCTGATATTTCATAAAAAGTTTTTAGTGTCTTCAGTTTATCCTAGAGATTCTGCAAGTGATGCAGTGAAATCTGGAGAAAAGAGATGTGTAACCCCTTCTGCACATAACTAATCCCCCAATTTCATGGGCAGGGTATGTCAGCCCCATACTGAGAGTCAGATAGGTAACAAAATTAAAATGCGATGTCACACATACTGTGATGTGGGTATTCACAAGTGCTATGGATTCTTATAAAGAGTACACTTATCTCTAGCTACAAGATAGGAAAACTCTTTCTAGGAAAAAAATACTGTATGGTGCCCAACATATTGGCTGGATTTTGCCAACAGAACTTTGGTTAACAGGTATACCAAATATAATAACAGCCATGGTTTAATTTGGCAAAGGTTATTAATAACAACAATCAGGGACTTCCCTGGCAGTCCAGTGGATAAGTCTCTGTGCTTCCAAGGCAGGGGGCACGACGGGTTCCACCCCTGGTTGGGGAACTAGGATCCCACATGCTGTGAGGCCAGAAAAAAATAAAAATAAAAAATAAAAAAATTCTTCTTTTTGATGTTAATCATCTAGACAAATTTATAGCTTTTCATATTATCCCTGCATGCTTCATATTTTATTTTATTTATTTTTTGGCCTCATTGCACGGCTTGCGGGATCTTAGTTCCCCAACCAAGGATTGAACCCAGGGCCTGGCAACGAGAGTGCCAAGTCCTAACCATTGGACCACCAGGGAATTCCCACACTTGTGTTTTTTTAACCATGGGATACTATAGATAACTCATTTTTGAAATTTGCTTTCATTAATACCTTGCTACCTTGATTCTTTCTTATTGTATCTGAAATTCTGTCAGTTTGACAAAAGTACTTGGCAACCTGTTGGTGGGAATGTAAATTGGTAAAGCCACTGTGGGTAACAGTATGGAGGTTTCTCAAAAAAACTACAAATAGAACTACCATATGACCTAGCATTTCACCTCCTGGGTATATACCCCCTACAAACAACGAAAACACTAATTCGAAAAGTTACATGCACCCCAATGTCCCTAGCAGCAGTATTTATAATTGCCAAGATGTGAAAGCAACCTAGTGTCTATCAACAGATGAATGGATAAAGAAGATGTGGTATACACACACACACACACACACACACACACACCACGAGTATTACTCAGCCATGAAAAAGAATGAAATTTTGCCATTTGCAGCAACATGGATAGACTTAGAGGGCATAATGCTAAGTGAAATAAATCAGAGAAGGACAAATATTGTATGATATCACTTATACATGGAATCTAAAAATTACAACAAACTAGTGAATATAACAAAAAAGAAGCAGACTCACAGATACAGAGAACAAACCAGTGGTTACCGGTCGGGAGAGGGAGGTATTGAATACAAACTACTGCGTGTAAGATAGGCTACAAGGATATATTGTACTACAGGGGAATATAGCCAATATTTTTAAATAACTGTAAATGGAGTATCACCTTTAAAAATGGTATAAAAAATTTTTAAAAATTCGTGGTAACATTTCTTGGGCCTTTTCTACACCCCACATCCCAGTTCTGTAATATGGATTTCACAGGCATTATCTTATTTAATCCTCATTTATAAGAGGTATGTATATGACTATTCTTGACTTATTAAAAAAATGACATAAATGGGGGAGATTAAATTGCCTACACATTTATATTAGTTTCTGTCCCTACTCCCAGGCTCCTAGTGTGTTGCAGACCTGAGGTTTGAATAAGGCCTGATTCCAGCACCCAGACTCTTAAGCCAGCACACACAATTCTGCAAAGGGCCCAGAGACTTAGAATACTGTGCTAGAAGTGCCCTTTGAGACTGTCTAGCTTAGGACATGATGTACACTTATGAACCTGATTCTCTCTATCACTTTCTAGACAAAATGACCCTCCCAATGGAGAGTGACAGGCTGAGCAGGGGGATGGGTGGAATGGGAGAAGGGGGGTGGCTCT